TCCCCCACCCCCCCCTTCCCGTTTTCTGGGTGGCTCTGAAAAGTAGTGGGCTGGGAGAGTCAAATCAACAATATAAATATTTATGTGGTCCCAGCCATTCCATGGGGATGGCGTTACCTATAATGCTACCACCTCCCCCTCACTCCCCCTCTCTGTTGGGGTCCCTCAAGGCTCCGTCCTCGGGCCCCTTCTCTTCTCCATCTACACCTCCTCCCTTGGCCAACTCATACACTCTCATGGCTTCAACTACCACCTATATGCCGACGACACACAAATCTATCTCTCTAACCCCCCACCTCACCCCCTCGGTCTCTGCCCGAATCACACACCTACTGAGCGGACATATCAGACTGGATGTCGCTCCCTCTTCCTTAAACTGAACCTCTGCAAAACCGAGTTTCTTGTCTTCCCCCCAGCCCGGACGCCACCCCCCATTGACTTCTCCATCACATCCAACAACGCCACCATCAAACCCGCCCCGCAGGCCAGAGTACTAGGTGTCATTCTGGATTCCAACCTATCCTTATGTATGTATGTTATGTATATATGTATCCAGCCCTAAGTCCAATCTTTAACAAACTCGTGCAGACTCCACCTCCGCAACATCGCCAAAATCCGCACGTTCCTAACCCCAGAAACCACTAAACAGCTCATCCACTCCCTCATCATATCACGACTCGACTACTGCAACTCCCTCCTCACTGGCCTGCCTCGCCGCTGGCTATCCCCGCTTCAGTCGATCCTGAATACGGCTGCCAGACTCATTCACCTTTCCAACCTCTCCATTTCCGCCACCCCCCTCTGCCAATCCCGCCACTGGCTTCCGATTGCGCAACGGATCAAAATCCTAACACTGACGTACAAAGCTGTCCACCATACTGCCCCGAACTACATCACTGACCTAATATCCAAGTACCGCCCAGCACGCACACTCTGCTCCTCACAAGACCTCCTTCTCTCTAGTCCCCTGGTCTCCTCCTCCCATGCCCGCCTCCAGGACTTCTCCAGGGTGTCACCCATCCTCTGGAACTCCCTGCCCCAAATATGTATGTATATGTGTGTGTATCAGATTATCACCTACTCTCCTCTCCTTTAGGCGCACCCTGAAAACCCATCTCTTCAGGGAAGCCTACCCCACCCCCTGCTAACTAACCTGCCGATCTCCTCCACTCCTCCTACCACTCCATCCCCCACAGCTATCTCCTCCTGTACCACCATCCCCTCCCTCCTAGATTGTAAGCTCGAAAGAGCAGGGCCCTCGATCCCCTCATGTTTTGCATTGTATTGTTCTGTCCCCCTCTGTAATGTACAGCGCTGAGCGAACTGTTGGCGCTTTATAAATACTGTATTATAATAATAATAATCAAGTCTAGTTGGAAAAGTACAATCTATTTTGTGACTTTTTTTTTTTTTTTTTTTAGTTTTGGATTGACTGGAGAGGGATAAGAACACCTGTCTGTCTTTATTGCTGTCTGTGCCGTTAAGGAGATTCACCCATCCGCTCTATTTGTCCTGTTTACTGTTACTGAAAGCAAATGAAAATGCCGAATTTGGATTGTCCCCAGAAAAGCAATTTAGGGGAAATCTGTCAATGGGGACACTGGTTCTAGTAACCTTGGGGGTCCCTGAGGATTTCTCTAAATTTGCAAGGATTTCCTCATTTCTTGTTTGGCTATGGGACAAGAAGTAAAGGGAAATCTCCGAAATGGGACATAGATGGCGAAAAAAAAAAAAATCTGACTGTGCTATAACCCTCCCTTATTCTATCCAAAATGAATGAGTTTTATGTACCTATAGTTGTACTTTAATTAAAAAAAAATATAAAAATATGTATGTGTGTGTATATGTGTATATATATGTATGTGTGTGTGTATATGTGTGTGTGTATGTATATGTGTGTGTGTATGTATGTATGTATGTATGTATATATATATATATATATATATATATATATATATATATATATGCATTGTAGCACATGTGCTCAACGCACACCAGCAAACGTGAGGTATACACAACTTAATGTCACTGGTGTGATTGGGCATGCATGTGGGTCTTAATAGTTGGCATCTTTCCCAAGGTCATACACACAAACTTCTGGTGTTCAGTCCAATATTATGGTGGGTCTCTTATTTGTGGGGCAGCACAATAAGTTAGTAGTTGGCACTTGTGTCCTTTTCCTATCTCGGCCAAGGCACTATCTGCATGGAGTTTACATGTTCTCTCAAGGCTTTCAAATGTATCTGATACAGAGCCCATAGAATCACCAGGAGAAAGATATGACTAGACAGATATCACACACATAATTTGCGAGGCCTTTTCCTTTAACATAGTCCTTGCGCTGTGCTTTTAGTACATCTTGATTTTACATATTATTGCTCTGTTGTGTTAGGGTTTGTGTTCAATTTAAATAGTGTTTTTGAGAATTTTTTTTTTTTTTTTTTTTAATACGTCACTCAATATCTTCACATAGACTTTCCAAGCGCAAAGGGAAACCAATTTACTACAAAGCCTCAAGGCAGCGGTGCTGGGATATGAACTCATGACCTCATGCATGTAAGCCCAGTGCCTTAGCACCTGCACTACCGTTGGAACTTCACCCTGTCTGGAACTTTTAGGAACTAGACAGGGTGCCCACTATCCCCGTTATTGTTTGTTTGTGTTATCTCTGGAACCACTTCTGACAGCAGTAAGAAAGAACATAGATATTACAGGAATTAAGATAGGAGAGGTGGAACACAAGGCAGCTGCATATGCAGACGCCATGCTGTTTTATATAGCGAGCCCTAGAGTGGCGCCACCTAACTTAATGGCACTGTTGAAACAGTATGGAGAGTCATCTAATTTAAAAATAAACCCTACAAAATCTGAGATTTTGAATGTTAATGTGTCGAAGGTAGAAAGTAAGAACTTACATGAAGAGTTTCCATTTGCATGGAGGGAAAGAGATTTAAATTATTTGGGAATAAAACTAACCCCTGCAATAAAGGACCTATACCAGGTTAATTTTATCCCAGTAACAAATGAAATTAAAGTGGATCTTAGAAGACTCCCAGGAGGATGGGCCTCATGGATTGAGCGGACAAATCTGGTGGAGATGGTAATAGTCCCAAAAAATCCTGTGTAAGTTTCAGATGCTCCCTATAAATTTACCTGGATCCTTTTTTAGGATAATAAAAAAATTGATATCGAGGTTTATATGGGCTAACAAGAAACCAAGAATTAAATATGAAACCTTATGTTATAAAGAGAAGGGAGGACTAAATTTGCAAAATATGAGGAAGTGCTATTTGTTGGTGTTATCACGGGTGCTGGACACATAATTCATAAGAAAAAAGTTGGGTTAAAATGGAAAGCATATTAAGTAAAACACAGTTGGAGAGGATCATTTGGATCCAACGAGAGTTTTGGGCACTCCACAATAGTAGCACATTGACACAGGAAGTATTGAGAGTTTGGCATGGTTTACACAAGTCTATGGGATGGAATTATAATTCATTACTGTTGCCGTTTTGTGGATACAGAATTTTTTTCCCCGGGGAGGGGAAATGTCTCGGGGAAAATGGTTTAAGGCTAGAAATGCACGTTTTGGGAGATATAGTAGACAAAGGGAAGTTATGCACTTTTCAAGAATAAAGAATAAAAGGGATTTGTTTTCTGTTTTAGATGAATTGAGATATTGCCAATTGGGACATTTTGTCTCAACGCTCCCTCAGCCGCTGAGGACAGCAGGGAACATGCTCCCGTTTGAAAAACTGTTGAGCTCTAAGACCGCTGTGAACATAAAATATCTAGGATTTATCCTGGCTGAACTGGTGGGAGCTGGATCCCTGTCCTTGGAGAGATGGGAAAGAGAAATGGGTACAAAAATGAATGATCAACAGAACAGGAAAATGTTTAAGTTCATGCATGGGGTGATGAACACGAATATACTTGAGATGAATTATAAATGTGTGTCTAGATGGTATTGTACACAGTGTGGCACATAAACAGCGAGAAGAAGTATCACCTATATGCTGGAGAGGATGTGGGGTAATAGGGAGAATGGCTCACATATGGTGGGAGTGTCCAAAAATTCAGGTATTTTGGCAAGAGATAATTCGTCATATACAGGATATTTGTGGGACGTCCATCCAGAAGGATCTGTGGGTGTGTCTTTTCTATAAAACAGAGATGTTGGTAAAACAATATAAAAACAGCTTATTATACCATCTGATTAGCGCATCAAAGGACTTAATCCCTAAGTTTTGGCAGGCCCAGGACCCTCCAACAATGAGGGACTGGATAGACAGAATTGAATGTTAATGGCATGAAGGAACTTTGTTATATGGATAAAGATGAAATGGAAACATTTAGAAGATGTGGGGTAGATGGTATGAGTTTAAAAGTACCCCGGCTTCAGAGTCAGAGAATTTAAGTGGTTAAATAGATCTATATATATGACTTGACCAATAGGAGGGGAAAGGGATGATTAGACAAAATTGGACAGGGATTTTTGTATGGGGGGGGGGGGGGGGGGGTTTGGGAAGGAATGGGGATATTGTGTATTTGTATTATGTAATAAGAATATATGACTGTTTTGTAGTGTATTTTTAAAAAAAATTTAATAAAAGATATAATATAAAAAAAAGTAAATACAGTGTTTTTGATTGCACGGTTAGTAAGGGCAGCAAGCTGTTTATGTCCTGCTAGGTTGTCATTTGCCTTCACACTGAGCATTTGGTTTCTTGATTGAAACCAAGAGCTGTGTGACCTTTTTGTGCTCTGATAAGGGAAAGCTGCATCTACAGATTTCTCCAGCTCCTCATCAGCCTCTACAGACAGTAATAAGACAGCAGATTAAAATAAGCAGCTTGCAGCCTAAAGCATCACGTTTCTCTTCAGTAAAAGTCTGTGCCTTTCTTTACAGCTTTTACACGGGAACGATAACTACTTGCACCTCTGTGTGAGTTATGACCAGGAACTGAAGTTGTTTGATTTGCCAGCTAAGAGAAGAACCCATGATTCCTATATGCCCTGTAGTTTCATTCACCTATGGTAAGTATCATTCACTCATTGACTTGTAATCTATATGTATGTGTTCTGAGAAAGCCTATATCCTCTTACTCTGCTCTTCCTGGAACGCTGACCAGTACTGTACTGCTTAATCTACTAATACCTTTTGGCTGGTCACCTAGAGGTTATGTTGTGTAGTTTGCTTGAACGTAACCTACCTACCTGCTATTTCTCTCTCTGGAAATATCATTTTTATTGTGAAATTTTAAGCCTTTAGAATTGAAAGATAAGTGATAGAAAGTAGCATTTCTATGTTTTGCTTGTGGTGACATTGCTGATCTGACAGGATGGTGTATTATATTTTTGGGGACCTTTAAAGGGCAGCTGCAGTTACAAGAAAAAAACTATCAGCATGAATTAAAAGTGAACTCCTCTAAAATAAAAATTAAAAAAAAAAGTTTGTCACTGCACAAGTCACATCTACCTCTAATGAACATGTCAGACTGGCTGCTGTACAACCCAACCCTTCAGTGACCCGGTATACTTTACAAAGCAGCGATGTTCTGGTGCTGAAGGGGTGAGAGGCTGTGACAGTGAAGGATCCTGTCATTTACCCTCATTTTCCTCTTCCCCTCATTTATTGACCGCCTTGTGTTCTTTTCTCATGCTACAAAGTATTCTGTAAAATGAAGGAGATGAACAATAGAACCTCCTTTTGTTCATAGAATGGCTTTTATGTCGTAAAAAAGGACACAAGTTTGTGAATGGACAAGGGGAAAGGAGAGGGAGGGCAAAGACAGGATCCTTCAATGTCACAGCTCTTCACCCTTACAGTACTGGAAGATCAATGCTCCAGGATCACTGACGGGCGAATTTGTACAGTAAACAGCAACCAGCTGAACATGGGTTACTCCTTATTAGATGTAAATTATTTGACTGGTGCTGTATCCCCCAGCAAATTATCAGAGTTTAGCTTTAAAGCGACTGTGTTGCTGAATAAAAAATCACCCATAAAAAAAGTGATTTTATATTTCCCACATACTAACTCCTTTGTGGAATGGTAATTCTATTTCTCAAAGCCCCCCAAAAAATGCATGTCTGACAATTTTAGCTTTTAGATGCCTGCATTCCGCCATTCCTTTGGCCCCTTGGACCTACTGTGTTCTGTGGAAAAGTAGGGGCCAGCTGGAGGAACTGAAGAATGCACAGAGGGATGCAGGCATCAAACATAGAAAGTGATCCGAAGATATTAAGACTGCTTTGCTGTGCAGGAGAACAAAGATTACTTGAATGGTCTCCCTGGACAGGCAAGTAATAGTTTTTTTTGTTTTCTGGTATTTATGGTACCTTTAAAGTATATTTCCACTTTTTCAGTCAAATTGAGATAAGACTGTATATGTGTTACATATTCTTATTCACGTAGCATTTTAACATTAAAAAAATAAAATAAAATTTGATATTTTTAAAATGTTTTCCTGAACGCTCCAGGACTAAAAACAAATCCTGCTTTGCTTTTCATTTCTCTGTAATATATTTGTAAGGGGCTGGGGAGCTAATGATTGCTATAGTTTACCCTGTCTACTGTGCTGGCAGGTCTCATTATCGATTGTAATCTAGATTTGAACACTGTCCTATCAAAGGGTGGAAGATGTAGACGCTGGGCTTCATGAGGGAAGGCTCAGCATGTCCCTTTTTGTCACTGGGTACAGAATCCCTGTATAATTAGAGTAGCTTGAGTAGCTGCCCATAGGCCTGCTCTAAACAAACATCCAAAAGGCAAGAATTGGTTTAATTTGTTTTATGTATGCTGTGTGAATGGGAACGTATCACAAACAAAGTGGGTTTTCTCAGATTTACTGCAGAAGTGGAAATACTCTTTAATCCAGCCTTCTTGGTATGTTGAGGACTTACTAGTTTGTGCCAAATATAGAGGTGTAATGCATGCCATCCCCTCGTTATAAAACACAGAAGTCCGGAAACCGACCTTTTTAAATGGAAAGTACTGTATATAAACAACTTATTAATACATTTTCAGGAATGGACTTGAGGGTTTACAGTGCTTCACATATTGATCCTGGCCTTGTTCTAAAGCTTCATTTGCATGTACAGCGCATCCAGAGAGTATTCACAGCGTTTAACTTTTGCCACATTTTATTATGTTACAGCCTTATTCCAAAATGGATTACATTCATTTTTTCCCTCCAACGTTCTACAAACAATACTCCATAATGACAACATGAAATAAGTTCATTTTTTTTTTTTAAATCTTTGCAATTTTATTAAAAATAAAAAAAAAGCACATGTACATAAGTATTCCCAGCCTTTGTTCAATACTTTGTTGAAGCCCTTTAGCACCAATTACAGCCTCAATTTGTTTTGAGTACGATGCTACAAGCTTGGCACACCTATTTTTGGGCAATTTCTTCCATTCTTCTTTGCAGTACCTCTCAAGCGTCATCAGGATGGATGGGGAGCGTCGGGGCACAGCCATTTTCAGATCTCTGCAGAGATGTTCAATCGGGTTCAAGTCTGGGCTCTGGCTGGGCCACTCCTGGACGTTCGCAGAGTTGGCCCGTAACCGCTCCTTTTGTTATGTGGGATGTGTGCTTAGGGTCGTTATCCTGTGGTCGACAGTATGGGCATCAGTGCATTGACACTTTGGGCACCACTACTAGGGACACACCATTTCTTTCCCACATAATGACCTATTAGCTGGGCTGTCACTTGGAGGTGGGTGTGGCTTTGATCTCCCACACCATTTGCTCATTTGGTCTCTTACAACATTTGTTCCCCTTTATATGGGCTACCAACGTGTAGATTTTTCAGCTCTGAGGAAGCTGAAAAATGTTTAACTCCTGAAATGCGTTAGCATACTCTTTTGTAGGACCTCTTTCCTGGGACTGGTACCTTTTTTCGCTCTTTACCAGTTTACATGGCCCTTGGTTTGTGAGTATAGGTTTGTCTATTTTTAAAATAAATCCATTTTTATCATGGTAATGCATGAAGAGGTTGCTCTCTTTGTGTTCTTTTATCACGGTCATTGTCCTATTGAAAGATGAACCATCGCCCCAGTATAAGGTCCTGAGCGCTCTGGAACAAGTTTTCATCATGGATATCCCTGTACATTGCTGCATTCATCTTTCCTTCGATCCTGACTAGTCTCCCAATTCCTGCCGCTGAAAAACATCCCTGCTGCGTGATGCTGCCACCACCATGCTTCACTGTAGGGGATGGTATTGGCCAGGTGGTGAGCGGTGCCTGGTTTCTTCCAGACATGATGCTTGGCTTTCAGGCCAAAGAGTTCAATCTTTGTTTCATCAGACCAGAGAGTTTTGTTTCTCAGTCTGAGTCCCTCAGGTGCCTTTTGGCAAACTCCAGGTGGGCTGCCATTTGCCTTTTACTGAGGAGTGGCTTCTGTCTGGCCACTCTACCATACAGGCCTGATTGGTGGAGTGCTGCAGAGATGGTTGTTCTTCTGGAAGGTTCTCCTCTCCAGAGAAATGCTGGAGCTCTTTCAGAGTGACCATCAGGTGCTTGGTTACCTCCTTGGCTAAAGCCCTTCTCCCTCGATCGCTCATTCTGGCCGGGCGGCACGCTCTAGAAAGATTCCTGATGGTTCCAAACATCTTCTATTTATGGATGATGGAGGCTGCTGTGCTCGTTGGGACCTTCAATGCTGCAGGAATTTTTCTCTACCCTTCCCCAGATCTGTGCTTTGATGCAATCCTGTCTGAGGTCTACAGACAATTCCTTGGATTTCATGGCTTGGTTTGTGCTCTGACATGCACTGTTTACTGTGGGACCTTATATAGACAGGTTTATGCCTTTCCTAACCATGTCCAATCAACTGAATTACCCACAGGTGGACTCCAATCAAGTTGTGGAAACCATCTCAAGGATGATCAGTGGGAACAGGATGCCCCAGAGCTCAATTTTGAGTGTCATGGCAAAGGCTGTGTATAATAGTTGTTTTTTGTTTTTGTTTTTTTTTAATAAACTGCAAAGATTTCAAAACTAGCTTCTTTCATGTTGTCATTATGAGATATTGTTTGTAGAATGTTGAGGAAAAAAAAATGAATTTTAATCCATTTTGGAATGAGGCTGTAACATAAAGTGGCAAAAGTTAAGTGCTGTGAATACTTTCTGGATGCACTGTACCTCCTGCGTTTTGTTTCATTTAAAGTATAACCAAACGCAAAACCTTTTTTGTACAGTACAGGGCTAGTATTCATAAATCAAGGGTTAATTGCGGCTACCTGTCATTTATTGTGAATAAAAGCCTAATGTCCTTGTGTTTCTCTTTTGACTTTTGGATAGGGTGGTGATTAGAACACCTGTCAGGTTTTTATTGTGGTCTGTGTCCCTGTTAGGGAGATTCACCATCTCTTTGTCCTGGTGACTTATCACCAAAAGTGAAAAAAATCTTAAATTTTGTGCAGTCACTAGAACAGGAGCGCAGAGGAGATCTAATAAGAACCCTTGTTCTGGATTTCACTTAGTTTGGAGATATCTCCTCTCTTCCTGTTGTGGATATTAGAAAGTAAGTGAAGGAATATCTCCCCAGTGGGACACAGATGGCAGAAAAATCTGACAGGGGTTATAACCCTCCATTTATACAAAAGGGGCAAAAAAAGATTTCCCTTGGTTCTACTTTAAACACAGGAGATATTGAACTGGGAAGTATAGGGTGTGTGTTTGTTTAGAGTTTTTATGGAACATGTACATGTGTTTTATTTATTGTACTTTTTACATGTGCTCAGTTTCAGATCTGCCCTTGCATTTATGTACATTTAGAGATGTTCTTTAAACACATAATTGCATATGTGATTGCTTGTCTGAATGAGGCCCAAGGCTACTTTGCCCTTTAAGGCCATGTTCACAGTTGTACATTTTAGGTGTGGTGTATTTAAAAAGTCCTGCTTGTATCTTTTGATGCGCTTTCATGAAAACGCATGTCATAGAAAGTTCAAAGGTAACACCTAAAATGCACTGCACAGATGTGAGCCAGCCCTGAAGGAAAAAGCTCTCTGCTCTTTCACATA